AAGCCATACACTCACTGGCTTACCAAGAAATGCTGAGCCCCAAATATGCTCTGAGCATTTTCATAGGGCCCGAACATCCAGCCATAAGCCAGGGAGCCTTGCACATGCTGCACTTGCACTGTGGTGTGTACGAGGGGTACCAGCAGAAAGGGCCAATGCATATGGTTACAGAGGGTGGAGGCGTCTTGGCTTGTCACGGCAATGGTTGCTAAGAGATGATGTCAGTTGTTGTTGATGTTGATGATGTAACAGCTAGTTGATGGCCTGATCGATGTACTTAGGAGTCATTTGGAGCTATTCCCTTGGGAAAGCTGTCCATTGGAAAAAGCCACTGAAAATGTATGGCACATCTGAGTCATAAAGAAAGAGGAAGTTGGGAAGGCAGAGGGCAAATATGGCCACTAGCCAGAGCACATGAACCAGCTCCTGAAGGCTACTGGGAGAGGACAAGCCAAGATCCAGCCTGCTCTGAATCTTTGCCCAGGTCAGAACTGGTAATGGTGTTTAGAACAAGGTTTCCTAAAGAGGGTTCCATGAAGCAACATCCAAAGAGATGCTCTGTGTGAGAGAGGAATTTATGTGGCGAGTGGCCTGCCTGGTCTATTCCTGTGTTGAAAATTCCCAAGGTATAACAAAGACTCCGAAGTCCTCAGGAGAATTCCTAGGATTTCCTAGGCTTCTCTGAGCAAAATCCCTCCTAAGATCTCTCGTCCCACTGAGCTCTGCTGAGGCCGCTAGAGAATATTTTAGGTCAAGGGAAGATCATAACATTGTAGGAGGGAGTTTATCAAGCCTAGTGATGATGGGACCTGGGTGCGAGGCAGTAGAGAGAGGTGAGAGGCTGGGCTGTGGGAGGGTGGGGCTGTAGCTCTGTGTCCTATGAACATGGCTAAGGGACAGTGGTGGCCAATGGCTCTCACAGAGCCTGCTCTTGACAGAAAAAGCTCAGGCAGAAAAGCTGGCCTCTGTATTCAGCACCTCTGCGTGCTGTCTGCTTTCAGGAGGCAGAAGGGACAAGCCCTGGGGCTGTGCTCAGAGGCCACGTCCACCTGGCCACGTCCACCTGGCAGCAGCTTGCTCACTCCTATGTGATCCAAGCGGCAAACTCACAAGTGCTCAGGGAGGACCAATGTCATCCTCCTCCTGGCAAATAGGCTAAACAAGCGGTTTTGCCAATAGGGTAGGAAGTAATCTTCGAGAGACTCCTATTTGCATTAACATTGTGCTTTTCAAAACATCATATTCTCTTTCATTTTATTGCATTAAATCATCCACCAAGGCATATTGGCGCCAATGGAACCTGAGGCCTGTGTTAGTTAAGTCACTTCACGTGGTGATAAAGCTTGGTCTGGAGCCCCAGTGTCTTAAGACTTGGTCCAGTGATTTTCCCGCTGCCCAAGAAAAGAAGGCCCTAAACCCCTGTTGGTGGGATGTCAGCCTGCTGTGTTCTAGGTATGGGGACAGCAATGGCAAAACAAAGTCCTCTCTGTCCTCCTGGAGCTTGCATCTAGTGGGTAAGACAGATGATACTCAAATGAACACACATCAGTGGAATATGACAGGGGTAATGCGTGCTTCAGGGCGAAACAAATCTTGGTAATGACTTAGAAAAAGACAGGGAGCATTTCTGAGGATGGTCTTTTTGAATAAAGACCTAAAGCAAGTGGGATGCAAGCATGCAGAGGCCAAGGGAAGAGATCCAGGAGAAGAGCTGGCGAGTGCAAAGGCCCTGAGATACCAGGGTGTTGGCAAAATGAGGGGCTGGCCCAGGCTAACCTGGACATGCGGAGCGAGATGAGGCTATGGGAACAGGAAGGGCAGTCACGTAGGACTTTTGGAGAGGATTCTTGTCTTCATGCTTGTGTGAGGGAAGTAGCAGGACCTAAGTTGCATTTCCGATCCATTAGTCTGTGCCCCATTTCACAACTGCAAGTCAGACCTGCTGTTTCATCCATGAGCTGCATGTGGGTGTCTGTGTGGGAGGAGTGGGCTGGCAGGGACAGGAGGCTGTGAGTCTCAACGCACAGTGCTTGGAGAGCAGACCACTGCGGAGACAGGGGAAGGGGAGCCTTACTTGACTGTTGGGTTTTTCCCAGGGGCCTTGAGAACAAGGTGAGAGTGTGCAGGAACTCATTCTTCCTTTTCCAGGGGGTTTAGATGTGTGAGGCAGCATGGGAGAGGGGCATGCCAGACTTTCTGGGCCTCTCTGGGACTCAGGAGGGAGCCCCATAGAAGGAGCTCAGAGGCCTACAGCCCTCCCAGCCAGCCCTAACCCACTGCGGGCTCCTTGTTCTTGCTGCCTCCAAACCTCACTGTTTTTTCTCTTCGGAATGTCAGTGAGACTATTTCCCAGCATGCTCAGAGAGAAACAAGAAAAAGGTTCTTTACTTATCTCCAGCTGTGGCTGGGCAGACACTTAATGTCTCTGCTGCTTCCCAACAACCTCACGTTCCTAGAATTAGGATTGTCCATTTGTTCAGAGTGTGAGAAATTACCCAAGACCACACCGCAAGCGTGACTGAAAGCCAGGTTGTCTAGGCAGCGCTTTCCAGTTTCCACGTCTGTCTTCATGGCCTTTTGCTCTGCTCCAGTGTCCTTCATGCATGTGTAGCATGTGGCAGGGGACGGTGTTTACACAGTCCCTGCACCTCTCTCCTTTGGGTTCCAGGTTTCTTCCTGTAAATGGCAGCAGCCTTTGTCTGTCTCCCCACTTAGAGAATGTGCACCTCCATGCGCGCCCCCAGTATGTCACATAGAGCAGAATCTTCACAAACGCTTGATGAATTAACATGGTGAAATTCTGGGGTCCGACCACCTGGGTCTCAGCGGCCACTTATGAACTGTGTGGCCGTGGATGAGCTGTGTAACTTCGCAGGGCCTGGGTTTTCTCATCTGGCATTCTTTTTAGGACTAAATGAATCCATCCATTGTACATGTTCAATACTACAGAAAGAATTCTGACATAAAATTTTTCTCTTCCCTTTTCCCTCATGTTTTTCCTTTTAATGATAAATGTTGACATTTTTATAATAATAGAATGTGCCAGGTGCCTCTGGCAAGCACTTTCCAGACCTTAATCCCAAGACTAAGCAAGCCTAGGCTGGGGTCCTTTTTGGGTTCACAGTGATCTGGTGGGGAAGATTCTAGGGAGGGCCTGGGAGACCAATTCCCCCAGAAGCAAGGATCGGTGGTCCTGGCTGCTACTGGCCTGGCTTTGGACTTTGAATATTTAAGAGGGTTACAGATCCTTAGCCACAGAGGAGGGTCATAAAAACAGCTAGATGCTACACAGGATCTTTCCACCTCAATAAGCATGTTCACCAGATAATCCACACTTAGTATACTATGAACTTAAGACTTGACAATTACACACTGCAAAGAGAGGCCAGGGTTTCACAGTGACCCTTCACCACAGGCATAAGCAGAGGTGCACAGTGTTTGCCAGGCAGATAGGCTGCAGGAAGAGTGGGAAGCAGAGGCAGGCCGTCTGTTTCATGTTGCAGTCTGTGTTTGTTTGAGGGAAGACATCATTCCCTAGGTCAGGAGACAACTGAGGTTGATGTTCCCGCCTTGCATGGTTCCAAAGCTGCTTTATATTGTGCTCAGTTTGTGAATAGAACATGTGAACTGGGTGTGCTTTTCTATTAGTAGACCACGCTTCCATGAAGCCCTAAAATGTGTGCATTCTTGATACTGCTGTGTTTGCACGGGGAAACAATGGACACAACCCCAAAGTCCGTACAGTAAATTATATGACCTCTGAATGATAGAAAGCCGTGCAACCATTATGAATAATGAGATAAGTTACGAGAACTGACATGGAAAGATGTCACGGCCGAGGGGAAAGGGGAAGTTAAGGAACAGATAGCCAGTTACAGCGTCTGTGAAGGACGGCAGAAGCTGTTTGGCCAATTTAACCTGCAATTTCATACGGTTCATTAAACACACATATACAGTGTGTTATGATACATGTGCAAATAATGCAGAAAAAATATCTGTAAAGATGTCCTTGAGCTGTTAAATGCAGGTAGATCTCAGCTTCTCTGTTATACAGTTCTGTGCTTGTTTTCAATTTAATTTTTGGTTTTTCTTTTATTTCACTTTGGAGAGAAAAAAACAAAAACAAATGGCAAGGACAAAGACAGAAAGCAACATAAAGCAATAAAAATGGTGTAGAATTTCAAAACAAGAATAGGAAATTGACGATGGCTGTTATGCTATATATCATTATTATCAAATTTGTTGCTCAGGGGCCGGGGAGATGGCTCAGTGGAATAAGTGCTTCCCTGGCAAGTGCAAGGGCCTGAGTTCAATCCCCGGTTCTGCCAAAAAGAAAAAATTTGTTGCTCAGACTACCAGATATAGGCATAGAAGACTGATCAAACAACTAAAATATTAACTCTTCCTTTCCATAAACTATTTTTTTCTTGTCTTTTAAAAAACTTTATCTTAAAGAGAATATAAAAATAATAGGATGTTAGAAACACACTTAAAACAACAAGATGAAAGGTATTTAACAGTAGTTATATTGCACAATGCTGTCTTCAATGTAGTTGCTCAGGTTACAGATAGTAGCATATAAAACTGGTCGAAGTAAAAATGTTAAGCATTAACTGCTACCTTCAAAAATCTGATAGAGATTAGCAGTACAATCGTTTTAGCAATCCTGTGAACATACACGCGTGATTTTCTCCTTCCTTTTTTCCCTATGTTTTCTCTTTTCCCTCATGGCAACTGTTTATTCCTTATGCTGTTTCTTTCCCCATTTTTTAAAAAATGATCTTGCATTACCCTAGTAATGAGCAAAAAAATTAATGAAGACACTCTAGAAAAACCAAACAGCACCCTGAGAGCAGCTGAAGGGTAGCGCTGGTCAGTGAAGCAAGGTCAGACAAGGGCGACGCTCAGGTGCCTTCTGGCCTGGACATTGTGAGTCTGCCCTGGAAGTGCCCCAGCCTGTAGTGAAGCTCAGCGCAGCGCAGTGCCTGAGTCAAACATACCTGCAGAATTTTGGAGTAGCTGACCACAATGAGCAGCCCCGGCACCAGGAAGTTCAGAGAGACGAAAGACACATCCCATGAAATTTCTCCGGCAATGTTGGGCCAAACCAGCGTGCAAATGGGGATCTCCTAGTTAGAAGAAAGAAAGGAGTTCTGTTAGAAGCTGGCGGTATCTGTGGCCTACAGCTCAGCTCCAGCTGGGGGTCACCGGGCACTGGCAAGCTTCCACACTGCACAAATGGCACCAAGCCCACCCCTGCTGCCACTGCCCCTTACAGAGCGCTGGCTCCCCTCTGACCCTCAGAGGGGCCACAGTCATTGTTTACATCCTCCAGGGGAGGCACTGAGCCCCAGAGCCGCAGGCTGGTGAGGGCTGGAGGCAGATGGGGCGGTGGGCAGGCCTTCGCATGGCCCAGGCTGAGGGTAAGTGAAATAAATGGGACTCATATGTTTAAAGTTCACATTGTTTCTCTTGTATGAGAAAGCAAATGTAAGCAAGGACCAGAATGGGTGCAGGTGTTGGGAAGTAGGAAGAAGATGGTCAGATGGGAAGGAGACCAGGGCGGGGAGAGGGGAAGGAAAGGGAGGGAAAAGGGCAAGCCGAGAACAGAAGGAAGGCAAGGGAAGCAAAGCCTTTGTAAACGAGGAGGGGACGAAAGGTTAGAGGGAGGGGAAGAAAAGGGCATGAAAAGAGAGGAATCTAGATATATGATGCACAAGTACAAACTCTTTATGGAGAATATGGCCATTATGTATATCAAAAGAGCATTAATAAAATTAATTTTTAAATTTATTTGCTTTATGTATTTGGTTGTTACAGGGTCTCACTATACAGCTCGGACTCGTAGTGATTCTCCTGTTTTCACCTTCCTCAGTGCTGGGATTACAGGTGTGCACCACCAAGCCCAGACTCAGTCACTGGCTCAGTGCGCCCCAGGGTGGGGGCAGGGCTGGCATGACATGTGGTGCTGGGCATTGGACCCTGGTCCTTGCGTTTTCCTAGGCAGGTGCTTAGTCAGCTGAGCTATCTTGCCTGCCCTTAAAATTAATGTTTTAGAAAGAAAACTGGGCCAGCGAGATAGCTCAGCAGACTGAAGTGCCTGCTTAGGCAAACTCAGGTAAGCACAGGGACCGCGCGCGGTTCGATTCCAGCACCACCTGCCACATGAGCCCTGCCCCAGGGCAGGCTGAGCCAGCCAGAGTCCGGGCGTGGTGGCGCAAGCCTGTAATCCCAGCACTAGAGGCTAGAAGTGGGAGGATCACCACGAGTCCACATTGCACAGTGAGGCCCTGTAACAACCAAATACATTAAATAAATACATATTTTTACAGACAGAGAAAATTGACTGGAGGAGACCTGCTGAGGTTGGAAGTGATGCGCGGCACACAAGCACGCAGCGACAGGACCAAGGTTTCAGTGTCGTCACAGAGTGCACTGTGCACTGAAGGCCGCAGGCTCTGTGGTAAGGAGCACATTCAAGCCTCTAAAGTATGTCAAAGCCAGGCGCAGTGGCATGCATGTATAGCCCCAGCTACTGGGGAGGCTGAGGCAGGAAGATTACTTGGCCCAGGAATTTGGGGCCAGCCTCAGAAATGCAGTAAGACTCCATCTCAAAAGAAGGAAAGAAAGAAAGAAAGAA